TTCATAAAATTTCACTTTCGATGCGCCTAATTTAACAGCGCATTTACCACGTAAGCTATCGCGCGACATTCTCTGCAATTCCTGTTTGTCTGACACCTATTTATTTCCATCTGTTCACGTCGATAAAAGGCAAGTTAGGATGCAAGAAATTTAAGATCAAGGAATGAATAAAAAATGTAGACACGCGATGATAACGACGTCGGTAGAGATTTTCCGTAAAATTAATGATTCACAAATAGTGTGAACACGTATTAAATTCCGTAATAAATATAGAGATATGCAATATTTGCTTGGACATATACACGCTTGTCGATCAAGAGATCGGCTGAGAAAATTCTCTACGAGTTAACGGTGAAAGAGGTCAGGTTACACTTCAGCGAATCGCTCTGTGTAATCATCGCGAAACCCTTTCGAAAGCAATCGAATCGCCCGGCTGGAATTCATTGCGTCTGTCACGAAGAACTGCAACTTTTCAAAGCGATCGAAGAATTGTCCAGCGTTCTCCGATCCGAGAATGTTGCATGACTAAAAACACAATTCTCAGTAGTATCGTCACTAATCCTATACAAGTTAATTCAGCAGGATAGTCGATTCGCATTCATCCGAGATAATAAATGTATAAATCCTAGCGTTTTAATTTTTACTTGCAATTACGTCTTATGAATATGCGAAAAAATATTGTATATTTGCATAGTTTTAACTGTGTCTAGAACTTGATAAGAAAAGAAAAAAGTCGATTAATTATCACTTGTTAGACAGTCATGTTGTAAAGATGTACAATGTTAGAATACTAATTAAGTAACTCTCTCTTCAAATCTCTGTATGACATGGATTAGTTCTTGACAGATTTATATTAAGAGAATTTTCACATCATTTCAACTCAATTCAAAGAATGTAATCTAGTAAATATTAATTAGAAATTGCGTTACATAATTATGACTACTAACATCAAGGATTTCCTGATAAATCAATGATAAATCCATTAAAAAATTGCAAATACTGGTCGAGAATTTAAAACGTATTAAAAGGCAGAACAAAATTAAATAAAGTTTTATTTTTATATTTAAAATTGCGAACGGTTCAATTTTGATTCAAAATTAAGTAAAATTTTAATCAATTTTAATCAATTAAAACTAAAGCAATTTTTAACTTATTTAACTTATAACGATAATGAATCTATATTCATACATTTGTATGATTATATATTTGATTTGAATTTTCAAATACTTTAGATGCACATCCGAATGTAATTTTCATGGACCCGTTACAAAAAAATTTCAATTTATAATAAAAACTAATTTATCACTCACCAATTTGATGCGCAACAGCGGAGTTGTAGACTACGTTGCAAACTATGTTGAATAACAACTGTAAAATACAAATATATCCAGCCATTATTGTGTGAAGCGTCAAAAGTAATTAAATTTTAAAAATTTTATTGTTACATGCATTGTATCTTTTATCTCTTCAAATAAACATTTAATGAAAAAACTTTATAGAATTCGAAAAAATGAAATAAAAATTCTTTAAACAAAAAATTATAAAATTTTATATACGCCTTTTTCTCTATAGTTTTACTTTATTATTATTATTAGCTAAGCAATAAAAATAAATGGAAAAACAGGTATTTAATTTTTTAACAAAAAAAGTATAAAATACTTTATGGTTGCTTTGTTGTTGCTCTGATGTCTCCTCGGTCTACTCCTTCTCTCAGATTCCTTTATTACGCTCACGTTCATTCACAGAACTTGAATCATGAAACAAAAAATAGAATGTTTTACATATATTTATTAATTCTATTTATTAAAATTATCATTAAAATAAAAGATTGAATAATTTAATATTTTTATTTTTTAATTATAAATTAATATTATCTTGTCATTACAGTATTTACACATCAAAAATAAAAAGTTAGCAGAAAAATCAATATTGCTTAGACTATAAAGGTTATCTCCAGAAGATATTATATAAAATCATCTTTTAAATCTTCTTCATTCTTTTAATCTTTAAAAGTTATTCTATATATTGTACCTTAATGTTTTATTTTTAATTTTTATATATTTTCATATACCGATATCTCGTATAATCCTTCAACATAATAACATATTCGATATATTGCAATCAAGATTACGATGCAGCAAACTTGATTTGATACATTGTAGATGTGTATTATGGCTCTAATAATAGATGTACCGAGCCGATAAATGCGAACCGATAAACAACCAACGCAAACACGTAGCTCTTTTATGGTTTGGCATGCAGAAATGTAATAGGACGTGTGACATTTATACGGATTTTTTGGAATGTATCATTTTGTCGAAAAACATCAAATAGGAAATTGATATTCGTGCACCTTTTAACCCGAAAATAGTTTAGGTGTTTAATATTCTAGTTTTTATATTCTAGCAATGAAAAAACGTAAATTCTAAAATTGTTTTTTATGGATATCGTTTAACATAATTTCTTTTTTTAATAATTATTCTTTACAAATCTTTAAATATGCAATTGCACACAATAACACATAATAAAAAAAAATTATATTAATTACAATATTTATTATTTAATTCTTTTTAGAAATTATTATTATTATTATTATAAATTACAACGTGTTCATTCCGTTTAATATTTGTTTGGTTTCTATGATTACTTTTTTTAGAAAATTAAATTTGTATTCATAATGTTCTCAGATATTAATAAATCGAAAAATAAAATGAATAATATATAATATGTGTTATAATAATAGAGTGGTTTGAAATGAGTTGTAAAAACACTTTAAGGGATAAATCGTAAAAGAATCAGATGATTACTCCCGGATTAAATTTATTACGCTATAACATCCGTTTTGAAGAATGATTCATCAAAAAATTCAGTTTTTTATGTATATTCGACAAAGAATAAAGAAAAAAACGGAAATAATCTTAATTCCTTTTCAAGTTATATTTATTGCTTAAAAGTTTTATCAAAATTATTAATACTTTCTCATTAATTTTACATATTTAATTTCAATTAAAATTCTGTTTGCAATCAAATTCTAATTTATTCTAATTGTCTGTATTTTAATTTATTAATTAAAAAAATATTGTCATATATCGTCAAAAACATTATATTATTACATGTATCGATAAAATACAAAGCCGACATTGAACGGAAGCAGCTGTATATACCTTGTCGCAGGTAATCGTAATTTCTTGTATCCGAAAGAGACAAAGGATAATGAGAATACTGTTGTATTCGTATAGTCAACTTTGCATTTCTGTAAGCGTCAGATAATCAAAAGCTTCTACATTGCAATGATTATATTTTAAGATTGGCTCTTATTAAACGCAAGAATATATATAGAATATAAAATATTAACACCATTGGTACCAAAGGCAATCAAAATAACTGATAATATTATTATAATATATTTTCTTAAAAAAATTGCTCAAATTTATAACAGTGCATTTTATAAAATTTTTTATGATTTTTGTTACAATATCTCAATGATTAAATTGATCATTTTACCTTCCTCTTTTATCTTTTTTTTTTAATGTATATTAACATATTTAAATGATAGAAATTTTTTTCTACTATATTTAAATATATTTATTCTATATATTATTTAAATATGTTAATATACATTTTTTTCGATAATTTTAGAAGTAAATAATTTTTCGAATAAACAATATCGTTAAAATAGTAAGGCTACGTTACATATTTTGATCTCTCACCGTATAAATATGATATTTCGATTAAAATTTTCATCATGCATGTGCATATGTCGCGAAACGCGTGCATAAGTAATTTATAGAATTTTGCATCTAGATTTTAAATGCGATATTCTGTTGCATATGCTATCGAGATCATTGGCAGAGTGACTTCTATCATATTTTTAATCAATTTAATTTCCACTTCAATGTATCAAGCGTGGCATTACACGCAGTTGAAATTCGTATGGAACATATGAATATTACCAGACACCGGCATTACGAAACGCGAATCGATTGCTTTTACATTTAAATGTCAATAACAAACTTTCCACAAATTGTAAATCTAGATCGACTAAGTGTAAAATGCGATTATATCAGCAACTGTTTCAGTCCTTAAATGCATTAATATCAAAGTAATTTTAACGGCAAAAAAATTATTCTCTCTATTTTCGTCCATGATTAAATATTCCATATGATTATACTTAATTCTTTATGTTTCTCTATGTTGTTAATAAATAATTCTAAAGACACTAATTCTATAAATTCTATAATTCTAAAAAATTCAATGCGGGAGAATTCAACTCGTAATCTTCCTAGAATACAGCATACTGAAGTTAATCACGCACTCGCCTTTATATTATTGAAACGATGAGAGGTAATTAGGATAATATTAGAAGGATACTTTCAACTTTTATGAAACCGTCGGAAATGTCGTTACGTTTTAATGTCGGTTATATTCAACTAGGCAGCGCAGATTTCGTACTTCTCAGCGGATTAATGATTTTCGACGACATACTACTAGCTATACCTACTTACGCGCACATGTTTATGGCCATTTAACATGATTGCATGTACGTGTCTCAAGAGGGCATACGTATGTACGTGAAGGAAGTGCTGAAAGTGACAAGCAGCTGCAAATTTTCCTGAAGCGAAGTAGCGGTTTGTCTCACCCTCGCCTGTCTTTCACATCTTGGCTTACCGCATTTTCCATTCGTCTTTCTACCCTCGAGAGAGATCCATGCCCCCGAGCGAGAAATCTTAACGCGAACAACTACTTAATCCGAAGTTGCTCGAAAAAAAAAATGTTTAACTTTATGGCATTTTCTTTATATAATACGATTTGTTTGTAATTTGATTTGTACTCGTTGTAAATAACGATGCTATACACAAAGTCTAGTTACCAAACTCTGAGTATGCGCGATAAAATGATGTTACCATTATCAATTAACTTTATAGTTCATTAGTCTAGTATCATCTAGTACCATCGTCGCTATTAGCCATATTAAGATCCTCTCATCTTTCTGTTCACAGCTACGGAAGAATTGGGAAGCAGTAAATTGAGCACCACATTGCCGACTGCTCCGACCGAGCTTTCGCAATTTCCGAAGCTGTGCGAGCTGCGCCGAAAATTCCCGGTTCTATACCGAGTGGAGTTTCAGGTGAGAGGCCCAGTAAATCCTATTTCCTGTCAACTCATCTAACTTCGGTCACCTCTCAGTCCTGTCGGACTCGCTTTTTCGCTTCGACAACTCTTACGACCTTTTCCTCGCCACGTTCTTCGATATACGCGTTATCGATTATTGGCTATAACAATTAGTCATACTTCATTACATCTTATAATCTTGAAACTGTTCGCTTTTCAGACTCATACGTAATTTAAAGGAAACATGCTTACGCGATTGTGGTTAAACGTTATTGTTTCCTGACCGTATTGCTATAGACATGTTATTATTTCGTAACAGCTGTTTATTACGCAATTATTTTCCAATATCTCACAGATATTGAAGGCAAACACCGCGTCGTCAGATACCGGAATAAGTTTATTTGCTTGATAGATACATATATCGGAAATACGTGATGCAACCGATGCTATATACATTCATGTGGCACGTATAGGCATACTTGTGGATATTACAGAGTACTCGGCGATAGGCAGACAGCCAAGAGACAAAGCGAAACTCCTCCTGAGAAGGAGTAGGTCGAGAAATTGAAACTCAGCATAATATCGGTTTCTCATTAGACAATTGTTTCGGAAATTCCACAATATATGATATAGGTTTTACCTTGACAATTTGCGTTAGTATAATACATTCGAGATCCAAGAAGATTATAAAACGAAAACTATAATCTCGAGAGTATATTATCAATTTGCATTTCATATGAAGATCATGTTAATTCTGGACATTTGATCTGTTTTTTATAAAAGCATAAATGTCAAAATTTTAGTTTTAAATTAAATAGTAATTTTTTTTTTAATGTAATTTATATGTAAAATGTTTTCTTATTTATTGTACATAATTTTATTTATTATAAATATATATTATTTATTATAAATAATCTTCTTTGAATTCATCAAAGTTATTAATTTTAATGTATAAAACAAGAAGGATTTAATCCTAAAAATTTCAGTCCTTAAAACACATATCTTTTGGTTGTACTACCATTAAACTTAAGTATTTATTGTTAATATTCTTTCTATAACTTAGTTCTTAGATCAACTCATCATGCTATTATTATGCAAATAGCACACAATGAAATAGGAATTTCATGCGAATGACGAGACAAGTGAATTCTTAACTGCAACACCTTAGAAAATGGTCCATCCACTCGTTCGATTTCCTTTCTTCCCTTCATATCTCACCCTGCACTGCTGTTTCACCCTGCACTGCTGTTTCAGGAGACAAGAGATCTCAGGCAATATTTACATATTTCACCAAGTTGCTTTCACGTCCGTCTCTCGAAGCGCAAAATCGATCTACTTTCTTTGTATCACGAAGAAAATATTTCTCCTCTATGTATGCAGTTTTACTCTTGAGAAATTCCAATTGTTGATGGATGGTCTTAGCAAGGCATCCTTTATATTTTTGCAACTTGAGGAGACAGAATTTTAAAGAACTTTAAATTCACTTGGACATTTTTACAATAGATTCAATTTTTCATGTGTAATATTACATAGGAGAATCGATGTATCAAAAAGTTTACATTTACATCATCTGATAGCTTAAGCATCGCTTTTGCGAAGAATTTGCGTGATGCGCGGTAAATGCTTTCCTAAACGCGGCAAATGCGGACAGCTTTTTTCCGGGCATCCGCCATCGACACGAGAAAGCTCTTAACCCTGTTCGCGTACAGTATGCATGACGACGCTGCCTTCGAGTGCAGTTTATACGCCAGCAGATTATCCCGGAATATCCTGTGTCCTCGCAGCACAGACTCCTAACGATTGTATAATCGCGGGTTATATGGCAAACGATCCTTTTTATATGGAAGCCACTTTGGACGCTCTGACATCAGCCTGTCATCGTGTCGAGAAATTTTCGTCACACGCGTTCTTTTCTACGTCTTTTTTTCCCGCAACCAATCCAGCATTTTTCCTGTGATAGGAAAAATTCGGTGGACTATCTGCGGATAACGGCGAGAGAAGAAAAGTAAGAGGGTTGAACAGATAGGACGGACGGCATGGGATGGTCGTTGCTGAATTTTAATCCAACTGGCACGGTGCGGCGACGCGAAAATCATCTCGGCGTGATTTTTAAATTAAACTCACCCGACATTATCGGAAATGAAAGTTCCTGATGTTCGACAAATACTGGCGGATAAAGCGTCATACGTATTCATGAAGCGCGCAGGGAATGCGAAAAACTTCCGGTTTGCAAGAATTGCGCAATTATGTATGAATTAATTAAATTTTCAAAGTAGCAAAAGTGTTATTAATGACAGCGGTAACAACAGAATGTACTGAACAGGATGTTCCCTTTTAACCATTGTGCCAAAATCTAAAATACTTTACGACGAGTGGAATCGATTGCGTTGCAATATACCGTTGTAGTATGTGTTGTTGACATACTATGTCTTAAAAACAACTGCACGAACAATTTCGGTGATTTTAGCTAAGTGATACGACATATGTTTAGGATGCAGTTGTCGCATAAATTTTCTGATTTGTCGAATCTCAGAGCTTGGGCAATCACTACTGCCAAAGTAAACTACGCGGAGATTTTCACGTACACTGTATGGCACAAAAATATATACCGTTCGAATATCGCAGCTGTTAACTGCACCAAAAGTACGATCCGCAATGTTCACTGATCCAATTAAATCGACGCGAACGATTGCACATATAGCCTTTGATAATATAAAAAAATTTTAGCGCACGAAAAAAATAACGCGCTTTCTATGCAAAAATTGAATTTATCTGCATGCATCAACCGCAACGTGATATAAATTTTGCGCTATTAAGAATTTTCGATTAAGAATTTTCTTCTCGATATATTTATTTTGAAACTTTTAAAAAGTAATAAGTTTTCTTCACGTCAAGCATATTTATAGTCAGACTTTTATCTTGTATAATTAGCTGTCAGCTTCATCGCAGAAACAGGTCTTTAAAGGGCAAAAGAAATATCTTCTACAATATTTTATTCGTTTGTTATATATAACAACAATTTCTTCCTAAATCGATCCTTTATATGTTGTATTCAATTTAACATCAATTTCAAAGGTAATAATAACTTCTGTTATTGACACACGATATAATAATCTACTTTCTAAATGAAATGACTATAAGAATAAAAATTGCAAAAGCTAGCCTAATAACATTGTGGATTAAAGCCGTGAATTAAAGCTTCCAGTATTATTAACAGTCGTTATCACAAGTATCGCTTTTCGAATAATTTCACGTATTCAATTGACGTAAAATAATCAATTACACCATTTCTCTGCTTAATAAATAATTACATCGCAAAATTTCCTGATAATTGTAAGACTTTTATATTGAGATTTCATTAGTTTATATTTCGTTTTCTATGTTCATTGCAGACAGCAACGAAGGTGGAAACGCATTCGTGCCGACACGCCATAAAAACCGCAAACAAGGAAAAAAATCAAAATCAAAAGTGTATTCCATGTAGGTATTAGTCGTAGATAACACTTTCTGTTTTTATGTAATCTAAGATAAGCCTCTTATTCAATCACCATGTTATCATTTCCATGTCTGGAAGAGAATCGCATTGATTGCGTATAATGACATAAAATACATACATCGATTTGAAATGCGCTGCGTATCAAGCACTTTCTCTTATAATGATTTGCGAACAAGCGGGTATAATTGCAAGTATACTTTGCAGATTCAACGTTTTTAATTATAATAATGGAGTTTGTACTGAATAAATAAAAGATTCTAATACATTAATAGAAATAGTCTGTCGCATTAATTATTATGAGGAGTTCGTATTAAAAAATAAAAAAAATTTGTAATATCGACAGAAATAAATCTATTGTACTAATATAATAACTGTTTCGCGAGTTAGTTTCCGGATTTTCGTTAATTAACTTTCTTGCAATAGAGGAAATAAACCACGGTTGCAAGATGGTTGCAATTGCCGGTACCCTGTTCCTTTAACGAGGATTTATTTCCGTTCTAGAATAAGAGCTTTTACCACCTAAGGACTAAAATGTTTCCCTTCGCTTCTTTTCGTAGACGACTATAATAGGGTAGTGTTGGAGACGATAGAAGGCGAGCCTGATTCCGATTACGTTAATGCATCCTACGTAGATGTGAGTATGTCATGATATTTGATAATAAGTATCTACATCAATAAGCAAAGATCAAAGATTAAGCGCGTTTTGAGATCGCTGATCTCATATGATCCAATAAATTAATTGAATATCTTTTATTTCGTGGAAAAGGTGGGAATTCGTCGGTGAATTTGAATACACATTCTTGCATAAAAGATTATGCAAGCTGATTATTACACCCGCGCGGACTTAGATGAACATTAATCATGCGTCAAGTATCAAAGTTACAGTGTCGAATATTACATTTCAGAGTATATTGAAACCAAACGCTTATATCGTCACTCAGGGACCTATGGAGAACACGGTGACCGAATTCTGGCGGATGGTCTGGCAAGAGCAAGCTTCCTGCATTGTTATGCTCACGAAAACCTTTGACTTTATCAGGGTAAAAAGCCATTTACAGCGAGACTTTCGTAAAAAGAGAAACATAACACACTGCTCGGAAATAGTGTCCATTAAAGTTGCCACGCCGCAAAAAGCAGTCTTTATCGTGCACGATGACGTTGACTGCGAGTCAGCTTTAAGAGAGCTTAGAGTCTGTTTTATAAATTCTTTACACCCTACAGCTTTTCAACCACAACTTTCTCTTACAGGTGATGTGTGTACAATACTGGCCGGCGAATAAAGAAAAAGACGAGGAATATGGAGGTATCGGCGTTTCCGTATTAAAAGAAGAGGAACTCGCTAATTTTCATATAAGGACGATAAAGCTGTACAAAAAGAATGAAAACAACGTAAGTGTAATTGCTACTCACATAGAAACTTTGTATTTCTCTCACAATATAAATTTAAATGTGAAAAATAGTAGAGCAAATATTATTCTTTAAAAGAAAAAAAAGTCACCTGTATCCCAGATTAATAACCTTTGACGTACGTAGCAAATGAATAACGCGTGAAGAACAATTAAATTCAATATTTGTGAGAAAGCGCAAATATTCGTGTTGATCAATTGACAATTCAGTAATTCGATTCGTCCCGAATTTGTATAAGTTGAAAAATTCGCGATGTCATTTATCGCTGGTAACAGAATGACGTAAATCCACCGCGACATTGTTCGAATATTCGTATATATTAAGACTGGAATAAATCAGAAGGACTTGCGACGGGCGTCACATCAACGAAAATTATCCGGATGATCCTTGAATGGACCAATTTTTCTTCTTTTTAACGGGGAAATTTTTATGAAATAACCGCGAGGAACTCGAATGATTATGTAATTGGACAGTAGTTGGCCCAAATTGGTCAGTAACATAGTCGATGCCAACTTGAAACCTTGTCTCGGCCTAGAAATGAATGGTACAAGGAATGGAGAACAAAGTTAGCTAAATTAACCGTATATAGATCGCATCACTTTTGTCATTTAGACCCTGTCCGAATGCGAAATGTGATACGAATCCGCGATATGAATGAGAATAAATTTGCTCAAGTAGCTATTATGCGAGCGGCTAATTTAATTGCACTTTTATCTACGAGAACGAGGAACGACAATTGTGAGTGACTTTCTAAAGCTCTTCCGAGCCGCACACTTTGTGATCTGATTCCACCACCGGCATCGTTACTTACTTAGTCCTTTTCTCGTTCAACTTTTTTCCGTTATCTAGAGAGTTCTCTCAGGTTTAAAGCTATTCCTTCGTATTAATGTCTCCGTCTACTTTTCGAAACCTCTGTATATATTCTTTTTCATTGTACATTGACCAAGAAAGAGATGTTTATTCTTTCATGTGTCTATTCTTTTGTAACAAAGATTTTATTTTCGTATGTATAATAACAGTCTATCTTCTTTGCACCAATTGTATATTTTAAAAAGATATTCAATAATTAAATAATAATAAAGGCAATGTGTCGATTAAGTTAAAAGTTTTAATTTTGATTTGTGTATGAAAAATTTAACACATGAATACAAAAATTCATAAAAATACATTTTTATGAATAAAAAATTAAAAACGTTTGAATAAAAGTTTTTTTCAAAAAAATTTCTAAATACACCTTATTTTTTCAATTTCTATAAAATTCCTATTTAATGTCTATCTATATTTTCTTAAAAAGATTGGTAAGTTTTTATCAAATACCAATAACATATTGATCAATTCTCAAAAATATAAATAGGAAGATTATAAACTCTTTATTCATAATATTTGGTCGTCCGGAAGTTCGTTCCGATGTTGAAGGAAAATTGAAACGCAGAAAATTTTAATTTAATAAATGTATACTAAAATTTAAATTTTAGTCGGCACGAATTTTCCGGATAACCCAATATATCATTGCTAAGTAAATATCTTACATATTTCAACAAATCTCGTCGTGAAATAAGTGCCGACACACAGTGAAACTGATGAATTTAGTCTCTTGTTTGTATCGCGATCAGCACTCTTCGATGTAAGACTGTTAACGAACCGTATGAAACTATCGAGTATTGAACTTCTCTATTGAACAGTAGACGCAACAAAGTAATTACTTTCTAACTAATTTACTAGCTGAGCGAAATTTAATATAGAAGAAGAGAACCTCGTAACCCCATTCCGGGAATAGCAAAGCAAGCTGAGAGGTTACAGAACGCCCCGATGTGCAACACGGGCCGGGCAGCGCAAGATGCGACTGCAATTGTCGAGTTTAACGCGGCATTGTTGGGATAACAATACCGGAGAATCTCACTCCCGGAAAATAATCTGCCGGCAACGCAAGTTGCACTCCGCGACCGCGCGTCGCTAATTTGTCAGACGGCGATTTTCTGCATTTCAGCAACGATCATAAATCTTGAAGCATTTAATCTCACGTACGTGTTCCGAACGATTCGGTGAGAAAAATAGAGAATGATAATGAAATATAAAGTGTAGGAAACGAACGAGAGACGAAAATGATTGTTATCATGAAAGATGATCGTTGTAATTCTGTATGCGAAAACGTTTTCAGGAGATTACGGAAGAAAGGACGTTGTTGCAATTTCATTACACAGAATGGCACTCACATACGTGTCCCTTTGGAAATGCGGTGCTGGAATTTAGACGACGTGTTCGAGCTGTGGTGGGATCAACTATAAAGAATGAATCCGGCCCTATGGTCGTCCACTGCAAGTAAGGACACTTGTGTTGATTATTTATGTAAAAGCGAGCAACGAGCCACTCTCGCGCTAATGAGATAATAAATTTGTTTGTTTGTGACACAAAGCGATGGTGGAGGACGATCGGGAGTATATCTAGCGATCGATGCGAACATGGAGCTAGCCGAAGAGGAAGATGCGTTTGACGTATTTGGCTACTTGAAGAAGTTAAGGCAGAGCAGGAGAGGACTCATAGAAAATTTGGTAGAATAATAATTAATAATCAATTAAATTAAAAGTTTCAATTTTTATTTATGTAAAGAATTCTAATTTCTATATTCTCTTTTTTATTAAAAGTTCTTATTTCTCAAAAAAAAATTTGCGCGGAAGGATTTGCTCCTATTTTCAATGAATCATTTTCATAATTTATTCTCAAATAATTGTTCTTAATTTTCTTCTGATATCCTTTTAAAATTTATTATTAATGATATAATCTGACAACTTTGATTTCTTCTTCTTATATTTCGATACATGTATTCATTCAAATATAATAGGAACAGTACAAATTCGTATACGACACGCTCGAGGAATTCGTCGTATGCGGTACATCGTGGTTTCCCGTAGCTGAATTATCGCAACGTCTAAAGCAGAAGAGTATAAAAAATCCGATAACTAAGATGAACGAATATCAACGAGAGTATCAACAAATTTGCAAGCAGACGCCGCGTTTCACGATTGGCGATTGCGCCGGTGGACATAGGGCCGATAACAGGGAAAAGAATAGAGATGTCCTGGTAGTTCCACGTGAGTTTCAACTCGAACGACCGGCAACTTCAACAAATAGCTTTTCCACGCTGTACAAATCAATCTCCTCCTTTGTTACAGCGGACAACTTTCGACCGTATCTCACCAGCTTTCAGGGTAACAGTTTCACAGACTACATCAATGCTGTCTTTGTGGATGTAAGTCAGTAAAATAAATCACCTCGCTTAACTGGTTTATCTTTACCTTCTCTTACATCGCTATGAAATCTGCATTTCTAATTTAGATATAAACTTTTAACGAAATTTGTACAAAGTGCATTTCTCTAATAATTAAAACTGAAACTAATTATTTTAGCGTTTATATGCACTGACACAAATTTCTTTTTAAATTCAATTTATATTTATATTATTATATAATATTAAAAACGACGATAAAAAAAAGTATCGGATTTGTAAATATCGAAAATATAAAAAGCTGTGGATCGAAATATATATCGCATTCGAGATACATTCCCGCAATCGTTGCCAAGTTCTACGTTCTTTCAAAGAACATTCATTCACTATCATACCACACAGGGTTACACGAAACCGAGAGAATATATCGTAACAGAATGGCCCCTTCGACACACGTGCGGTGAATTCTGGTCTTTAGTTTACGACTATGAATGCGCTGCGGTAGTAGTTCTCTGCGTGCCACCTCAGGGATCCACGAATTTTCCCAGTTTTTGGCCTGAAGGAAGACACTCCAAGAAATATGGACCCGTGTTTACGATTGACCACATCAGTCACAATCATTACACCAATATAAAAACCTGGGTGAGAACTGATTCTCTAATCATCATAAAATAAAGTTTTCACTCACCTAAAGTTTTCAATTTTTAGGTTTTATTTGAATCTTCACAAAAAATCTACATATGTATTAAAAAAAATACGATGATAATATTTTACTTATTTTATCTGTATGAATTATTTCTCAGGTTTTTAGGATAAATAAGAAAATCGTCTCATTGACGGAATTGATGGCGGGGGTGAAAGCACCACCGAAGACCGTGCAACTGTTTCAATTAACTTGTTGGCCAATGGGTCACAAAGTGCCCACGTCCACAAATAGCTTAGTAGAACTCATGAATATGGTTGAGAGATGGAGACAACGAACAGACTACGGACCAGTAGCTGTGGTTTCGCCCGATGGAAGAAGTCGTTGTGGGGTCTACTGTGCGGCCAACGCGTGTATAGAACAGGTCATTCAACATGGAGAAGTTGACATTTTCCAAGCCGTAAAAACTGTACGCAGACACAGACCCCAGCTTGTGGAAAACATGGTATATAATTATAACATTACAATGCAATATCCTTTAAATTTCTTACGCGTTTCTCGAATTATAATATTGTTAGCATATTATAACATATTTTTTTATTAAAAATACTTTAATTTTGTGTCTTACATAAAAATATAAGACACAAAACATATGGAGAAACATACGTAATATTCTTTTCCAGACGGAGTACAAGTACTGTTATGACTTAGTTCTACACTATGTATTGCACTATTTAAATAAAGACATGAACGAAAAGAAGTGAGAATGCGAGTTGAGGGACGAGCTGTGGTTCATCGAATTCGGTCGCGGAGCAGCGCTGCCGTTGACCCCGGAAGAGGCACCGGCGGACGGGGAACCGGTAGTGCCTTGTGCCCAAGGTCGCATCATCGTGGAGACTGCGAGGCCGGCGCCGCCACATTTTGCTACTTGCTCCGGCTATCGCAGGCCGCTTCTCAGCCGTATTTCGAACGAAGTATCGGTTAGCGATGGAACGGCACCATCGTCAAGTGGTACGGAGCAGAGTCAAGAGCAGCAACAGTCACAGTACATTGTTGGTGGTAAAGGCGCCGTCAGCAAGGCTACAGGGACACCGCAGAGTCCTGCCTCGAGGCCGGACGATCTCAGCGTGACACCCTGGTACCTGGAGGATTATCCGACGACCGATACCTCACCGGGGCCGATGGGCGATCGGAGCTCGTATCCCTCGTGCTCGTATACCGATGGTAGGGATAGCAAACCGGATCTGAACTCAACGAGGAATAGCAGCATCGAGAGCGAATTCCCGAGGCCGATAATATCGATACCGCGGAAGGCTTGTATGGATCTAATGACTGCGATGGCATTGTTGGATGAGACCTGCCCGAATGTGGAACCCAGTCCATCTCTCACCCCGAGAACGCCCAGAACACCGCTGACACCGTATGCGACGCGGAACAAACGGGCCCGTTCCAAGAGCAGTGATAATTCGTCGAATTACAGCAACGATCGGCTGAGTGATCGCTCGTTCGAAGTCACCAAAGACAAGGAAAAGAAGAGACCGTTCCTAAGGAAGATAGGCATTTCAAAAACTGAGGACCGACCATTCTTGGCGAAATTGACACCGAGAATTCTTGGCAAACCCTATCTGGAAAAGATCGGACCCAGCAAAGCCATCGAGAGACCGTTCCTCGACAAGATCGGCTCGTCCAAAACTTTAGACAAATTCATCTTCGATACGCCGCGTAACGAACGCAAGAACGAATTTAGGATGAGGACGAACGATGTGATGAAGAATCACGATGGAATAAAAAATAACATCAGGCACGACATTGAGCAGATTGCCATCAAAGAAGATGTTGAAAATGCAATTGAAACGCCAGAAGTAATACCTGTTACTTTCCGTTTAGAAGAAGTACAACACAAATCTCTAAATGATGCAGAGACTCAAACGACAACAATCTTCGAAAGAAGACGATCGGGTAAAGAGTTCCTGCTGAAGATGTACTCTTTCGAGACGGAAGATCTAGAGTCCACTGTACCAGCGAAGGAACGAAACACGTTGCACAATACGTCTTTAGATGATGTATTGGATTCAGGGCCGAGCTCGTTGCCGACGGATAACAGCGATGAGCGAACGGAGTCACGGTTAGAATTGGAGAAGCGACCGACCAGCGTGACCGCCGAGTTATTGAAGTGCCGAGTGACCACAAGCGAGGAGATAATATCCTCCTCTACTACGTGTTTGAATTCGCCGAGTGAAACTAACAGCTGGAACAACTCGCCGCAACGCGGAAGAGCGCAACGCACGAAGAAGGAATCAGCCACTATAATTCGCCGTAGAATCTTTCAGGGTTCTCACGAGATCATTCGTAGCGACGACAGCACGCCAAACTCACCCACGAAGAGGCCTATCTCGAACGTCTCCCCTGAACGTGAGATCGAGTTGAGGAGCACTTTGGAAAGAGGAATTCTTTCCCCGACGAAAACAAGGAAATCAATCATTGAGGATATCAGAACGATCGAGAATATACGTAGATCAATCAAGTACAATCAGTTTGAAAGGCGAGGCATCTCCTCGGACAATCTCCTGGCGAAAGACGCTCTTTCATTCGTCACTGCCGCTCGTACTATGACCGATAACATCGGGAGAACACGGGAGATCTCGTCAGAAGATTCGCTGGCGACTCATCGAGAGTATACAAGGGAGACATTCAAACAATTACAAGACAAATTTAAGATGCAGGAAATACCTATGGAGAGTTACGCGGCTTTCAAACGGCGCACTCAAGCCGCTCCGGGAGCAATAAGTCGACAAGAAAGACTGAATCTTTTACCAGGGGATCTTGATGTAATCATAAAGAGCACACCTAAGAAAGAAAATGTTGCATCGACTGACACAATTGTAAGCGAAACTGCCATGAATAAGCGAGATCAGAGTCAAGAAGGTACGGTAAGATCCATTCTGAGAAAACAGGAAGGAATCGATCATCCCGATCAGGAATCAGACACAAACGCATCCATCAGACGACCGAAGAGGCGGATCTTTCATGAACCGTCGCAAGAAACTATGGATCTGCTAACGGAATTGCGCAAGGTAAAGAGCCTGTTAAAGACCCCATCCTGGGAAAAGGATCTAGATCTCGATCAGAAGCCGGTGCGGATGCCGAAGCGTATTTTGCTAACAGACAAGGAATTTTGTCTCTCTGTAGAGCGGGAGAACAGCGTGCGACGTCCGTCGAGAATGATTAACTCGCTGGAGACTACAGAAGAGGGTAAAATTACATCAAATAGGGAAAATAAAGAGAACAAGGAGAGCAAAACCGAAAATCAGAAATCATCCGGACCAGCTCTGTTCGAGAAGAAATGTCTGTCGTTGGACTACGCCGACGAAGAGAAGCCTCAGAAGCCGGAAGTCAGAACGATCTCTTTGGCCTCTACGAGAGATTTGCCGTCCGAAACCGAGGAGATCGACGATTATCCCGACATGACGTTGATTTGCGACTCCAAGAGCTGCTCCTCGAGCGTCTTCAACTCTCCGTCCGAGGAGACGAACAAGAAAGATCTAGTCGGCGACCCAGTGGAAAAAGAACAACCGAAAAAGCCTAGTCAGAATCATTGCGCCGAGGTAGATATCGCCATTCCCATCGATCAAAAGATCAACAGCCCTAAAGGAGATGTTCAAGGGCGAACTAGCGATCTCTACGAGATTATATCGCCCCGGTCGACGCCGTTCCGCGTTAAGAAGCGACTCGGCAAAATCTCCGTCGAAGAGACCGTCAAGCCGGAGAATTTCACCCTCGGTTCTAAGGTCGACTGCCGATCGGTCGTTGCTCAGAAACGGACCAAGTGCTTCCCTTTATAACGCACGTCGATCTGCCCGTGGGCGAGATTCTCTGTGGCACTGGTTCGTGTTCGTACCGTAAGAAGACATGCAGATAAAGTTGCATTTCGCCTTAATCCTTTCGATACCATGTTAAACACAAGTGCATTGTGCCAAATACGTAATTTCTAATATCTTATTTAAACAAAAAAAAGAACCAATTATCACGTGTTAAGATTCTTAATTACTCGTTCTCTTTATTTAATATTTTGTTTTAATATCTTCTAAGAGCCCAACTCTGATTATTCGCTTTTTTAAAGAAAAAGAATTTGAATTCTGATGATATATTGTAAGTGCTAAAAATTTTAGTTCTGCAATTTTTATTATTCACTTTGTTATTAATATTCTCATCCTATATAAAAGATATATCTATTTTACATTTTTTATCTATCTTTCTAGAAAAAAAAATCATTTCATGCATACACACATAATTGTAATACGATTTTAAAATATCTTACAGAATTGAATAAATTGTCTTAATACATATTTTATACATTGATAAGAAAAATAAAAATAAAATTATTCGTTAAACATTATATAGAAAAATATTACTGTACAAAGCCTAGGTACTGAAAGGATTAAATCTATTGAGTGATTCATAATAACAGTTATGTCTTCATTCGGTACGAGCATTCTTTTTTGAGTTGCTTCTAAGATCAAACAAATTAATAGTTAAAATCTCGTCAATAACTCGCCTAGTAGAAAAATTTCTCAATGAATTTGCGTAATTCGAAAACAGATATTTTTCTGATATAATGCTCGTCTTAAGATGACTTTGTATACTATCGCTATTAGTTTTTAATTAGTCGAAATTAATGCATATGAACAGCAGAGTAGAAATTTCTAGTTCTACTTTGTATAAGCGAATATAATGATGGCATCTGCTAAATACGGTTTTTTAGCTTTCAAATTATCCCCGTTGCATTTTTGCAGTTTTTTTTTTTGGACAGTGCTATTGGATACAATGAATACATAGAGAATATGGTAACAAGTAAAGAGTGGAAATGAAAAAAAATTTGAAATGCATGGGGATAACAGATGCCACATTTCATTTCGCTCTATTGCATAATATAAAAGTATTGCTAATCTTCTATTGGTAAAATAAAATGACATCCTCTCTCGAAAGTATAATGAAATTCGATTTTGCGACTGTTGGGAGACGGAAAAAAAAGATTAAAAATTAAATATGGAAAATGTGTGATCTAGAAAAAAATAACAGCTTTATGAAGAGGATCTGTCCAGTTTAGAGCCTAATTCCGGAGTTTTCGACAGAACGAAATCCGAGATATGCGAGCTCCTATCGAAATATTCTAAAGTGCACCCCCATTTTTTACTCGACGTTTTCGAGGAAGAAGATGGCCCAAAATGGAAACGAAAGCTCGATGTGGCTGTAGAGACTTTTTACTCGACGCGCGAGGACGAGGAATTCGGCAAAAAATCCTTCTGTCGAGCAGAGAGTGCCTTGTTCATGTGGATATATATTGTATTTAAACAAAGAGAGAATAAACATGCGCAAAAGAAGTCCTCATCGACGATTCAATTCCGACTGCGCGCCGGATTTTCTGAATGGGTCCACGGAATCGCGCTCTCTCGTCGAATGACATCGCAATTCTCTCCTCTCGTTCTTTCTAAAGAAGATTCTTGCGATATTGACAGAATCAATTGTGGTTTTCAAATTCTTAAATTCTCATTTGCTTGATTTTTGCAGCAAATTTCTACGTAACTTCTAATGAATCGTCGTACCTATGATAATTCATTTTTAAAAATCATTGATAAAATTTTATTAAAAGGAAAAGTTTAAGGGAGTTTGGAAGAATATTGCGAACTCAAGAGAGTGCGATTCCCACGCAGATGCGTGCGCCTGCCAAGCCTGCTCTTCGTTCGGCGCGGCACTTAACGTTTTAACGGCATAAAACTTA